TATGTTATGTTATTCACTTTACGCGTTCCTCACTTTCCGCGGGACCCTGCGGGTTACATTAACCGCGTAAAGTGAGGGTTGACTGTATATATATATATATATATATATATATATATATATATATATATATATATATATATATATATATATATATATATATATATATATATATATATATATATATATATATATATATATATATATATATATATATATATATATATATATATATATATATATATATATATATATATATATATATATATATATATATATATATATATATATATATATATATATATATATATATATATATATATATATATATATATATATATATATATATATATATATATATATATATATATATATATATATATATATATATATATATATATATATATATATATATATATATATATATATATATAATGTGTGTGCATGTATGTGTGAGGAAAGGGAGTGAGTAATAAGTGTTAACTCAAAAGGAGATAAAATGAAGAAATAGCAGTTTCAGATATATGGGAGTGGATGTATCAGTGAATGGATCAACATAATTACCAAAGGAAAGATGGTACAGTAGTAGATGGATTGAGAAATGTATGGAGAGACTTATGTTAAAGGAGACTATGATGGGGATATTCACAGGATCAGTTGAGCAAACACGAGTGCAAAGCATGGAGCAAATTAAAAGTGACACAAGGGATGCACTTAGGAGCAATATGTGTGACATATAGGATGAAGAGTATAAGAAATAGAGAAAAGAAGAAATGTGGAATTAAAGAAAATTTGGGGCAGACAGAACATTAGGGTCTACTTTGGTGGTTTGGCTATACAAGTACATGTAGTACTGAATGAATGCAAGTGACTGACTGATAAAGTGTGAATGACTCCGAGGTAGATGGTGGAATGGTAGAAGGAAGAAAGGACGGGGCGAATGAATTAAGAGAAATGAGGGGATGGATATCCAAGAAAAAGCAGTGTTCTTGAAAACACGTTAAGAATACCGTAGATCAGTGATTTCTTAAGATAATTTTGCTGATGACTGATGCTGGCTCATGTAATGTGACAGGTACACCATATTTGGGGCTTTGGTATCTTTGAGGAGTGTCATAGCAGAACAGATATTGTATAGCAGTGAAATGAATGGATAATAACAATGAATAAAAGAAAAACTATATGAGTATTGTATAGTACTGTATTTGCTCTTTTTTCCAGCCACCCTATAGTAAAGAAGGAAAAGGCTTGAAGAAAAAAATACACAGTACAATACTGTACTATGGTACATAAGAACATTCTACAAATGAACTTAACAATGATAAAATAATGAAAATAACAGACAATTTAAAAATAACAGTTATTCACACAAAAGTAAAAAATGCTCATTTGTCTAATATTATAGCAAATACCATTTGCAATTTATCAAAATTCCTATATTTATTGATTAAAAAAAGTATAAAAATAAAATGACCACTAGCATCCATAAAAAAACATTAAACTGCACAGCTTACAATGTACAGTAAAATCTATGCTGGTTTGACACTAGGCCCTAGGGTAACAAAATTTCAAGAGGCCACACTTTTTTCTGTAAGTAATTAAGCTGGAATATTAAGAAAATTTTATTGCTGGCCAGAAAAATGCCCCATTATTCCAGCCAGCTTGGATTTGGTTCAGACTAACATTAGCCCTGGTGAATGCATGTGTTACTTGGTTGGGAAGTCCCAAAGGTCTTCAATGACTCGGGGGTTCCCTCAAGCTCTCACAAGAGCCCATCTGCATAGTGCAAGGTGAGAAGCCCTGCCTTTGCATTCTCTCAGACCTCCCTACAACCATCTACAGTAGTCTGCAGCCCAGCCTGGTGAGTACAAAAATACATATTTTTAGTTTTCTTTAATTATATTTATTGTTTCCTTTCGTTTTTACCTAGGGAAAAATGAATCAGGTAGTCGGAAATTTCACATCACCAGACTGGCCTGAGCATAAATTAGTCTAGCCAGCTGGGGTTTTAATGTTCAGTATTCAGAAATTATTTAAGTAACTATTCTTGACTGCTTCTTCTAGTAATCCCTGGCAGATTTAAACACAATCTACAATAATGGTTTAATTGTATACCTTTCAAAAGTTTGAATAAAAATCCCAAAATATGGGGTGATTATGACATGAAAGTAAAATTAAATCCTTATGCAGCACTTGTTTTGTGATTGTTTCCATATCATTAACATAATCTTTTTTATTTCAACAATTCTAAATAAGATAGATTACAGAAATGTTACAAGTGGTAGATCATTCACTTTTCAACAAAATATTCACAGAATCAGTTCCCAATTGGAGTGGAGAAATAGGTTTCCTCCTTGTACACTAGCAATTGTGCACTCAGTGATAAATGAGTACATTATATGGTGTGCTTTCCAATATATACATATTATATATATACTATATCATATATATCTATCTATCAGTAAATCATGGCACTTCCGGACAATTGGGGGTGTTCGGATGTCTGGATGAACCGGGGGATGAATGCACTTTAATGATGATCATAATATTGTACATGGACTTTATTGATATGGGTGATGACAAACCAATAATAATTCGCATTCACTATACAGTATGCGAATTCGCGTTTATGCAGCGACTCTATTTCTACCCACAATTCATTTTATGCAGAAAAGATTCCCTGTTATGCATTCTGTAGAAGATATGACTTCACCACATCTGTCTTTGTTTATGAGACAATTTCCTACTGTATCTTTTACTAAAGTTTTTGAAGTTAAACAATTGATTTACAGAAAATCTTCATTAAGACAGATCCCACTAAGGTGGATATCACTTAAGCTGGACAAAACTATTTGTCCCCCCCCCCCCCAAAAGTAAAACAAGATTTGTCCTCCGATGAAATGTCCGCGTGAAATGTCCGCGTCTGCATGTGGGATACAGGTATCCGACTTATCAATTGCTGTTTTGGGGAATATTATTTCATTCACTCTAGTAATGATACAATGTTTCTTATTATGTTGTCGTAGGTAAATGCATGGTTTATATAATTTGTTTATCACTCTGCCTGTCACCGTTTTCAAATAAGACTACAAGTTATCTATTTCTCCCATATGTATTTCGATCGTACGCCTGGCAACAGGAGCGAGTGAGAAACCACTAGTTAGAGCGTTGTGTTCTCTTGTAACTCTCCTCGCTCCCTGCCATATTTCACTGGATTTACTGTTAAAATAGAGCTTAATAGTGCACACTGCAGCTCAGAATCAAACAACATAAGTATAATATCAGAACAGCATCTGAAAGCAGTGCCTTGTTTGTTCATGTTAGGAATAATAATCATCCCATTGCTTGGGAAAAAAGCTTAGAAGTATTTAAATCATCTTGTGTCACAGAAAGACTTTTGGTTGAAGCTAGTTTGATTAAGGAATTAAAATCAATAAACCTTAGTGATGGTCAGTACAAAACTGATATGTTACATAAATTTATTTGTCAGTGGCCCAAGGTTAAAAATGCTTTGAAAACCTTTGATCTTGATGTATGATAGTTATTTAGTGGGTCCCTTATTTTTGACCTGACCTGACTAGTCACGTCACCCCCCTTCTCTTCAGCTCTTCTACGTGTGTGTTGGTCTGGGGATTAGTGGATGACATCATTATGACCTGACCTCATGTTTTTAAGGTCACCCTGTATATTTAAGCCTCCCTTTTCCCGTGTGATTTTATCAAGATTTATCTTATCCACGTTTTCATTGTGGATCAAATTACGTATTTTCGAGTCCCGACGTTAGTGATTGCGCTGTGTACTGACAAAATTTTTGTTTATAATTCCCTTTAAAATGGCTGACATGCTTAAAAGTGAGAGTTTTGTGATGCTGAGAAGAAAAAGAGACACCTATTTTAGATTTTCTATGTATTATCTTCGCATTTTTGACTTATGACCAATTCGATTTATGACCTGGATTTGGGTCCCTAACCCCTTCGTAAGTCGAGGAGTGGCTGTATATAAGTTTCTCATAATTTTCCAGAAAATCTGCCCCTCGAAAAATCATTCCCAAATCTGGAATTTTCCGTAAAATTCCAAGCAAATCTCAATTCCAGCTTTCGGAGAGTTCTGGTTGAGGAATTCTGTCTAATGGAGATATTATTGTATGTGTACATTTACTGGTGCTCTTCACATGGGACCCTACAACTTAAATTATTGTACCTATGAATAAGTATACTGTATTGATTGCATATTCAGTTAGTATACATGAAGGTATCCCTCACTATACGAACATTCTAGATACGAATATTCGCTTAAAATTTTTTTCCTGAATTGACACCACTGTTTCGAGATATGAAAGTTTTCCCTGCTTATACGAATTTAGGTCCCGAGAAAAGTGCAGGATATTGTTAACCTTGCTCAGGGGGCTGGGTTTGAGGAAAAGGGCAGGGGGAATATCCAGGATCTACTCCAGTCATATAGTCAGGACTTCACCAACAATGAACTCCTGCAGCCCCAGCAGCAAGGGCTTCATGAAGAAGAGGAGGACATGCCAGAGGAGCTACCTGACCCTCAATTCACTCTCAAGGATCCTCACATGGAAAAGAGTAGCGCAGTTGCCTCTAGTGTGGAGAGAGACATCAGAGTCTACACTGAGATTCAGCAACATCTGAAGAGCAAGGCAAGACTGCCCACCATATCCTCATTCTTCAAACCCATCACCACCTTCAAACTGCTTACTGCATCTTCGGCTTCCAGTCCCACTCCTTCTACCAGCAGATTTTCTTCCACCCCTTCCACCTCTGGTGTGACTATGATGTCCTTGGCAAACACCAGTGATGAGGTGGACAACCCTTCTCATCTTGACGAGTAAGGAGCTTACTGAGGTCATCCCCTTGTGGTGGTGAGCCCAGACTGCCCTCCCATAAGGTAATGTACCAAAGTTATACAGTATTTTATTAATGTTTTTGATGTGTTGAATAGTAAGTTACAGCAGTTGTCTACTACTTATCATTGGTTACATAGGTTTTTGTTGTCTGTAAACTGATTTTGTGTTTTTGGGTATGATTTTTTTTTTTTTGTCATTGGGAACCAAACCCTATTTTCCCATATGTTTTTCTATTTGCTATTCAAAAATTCACCCAATGAATTGTTGTTCAGGAACCTAACCCAATATCCATACCTTATATCGAGAGATACCTGTATATCTGAAACTGCTCTTCTGGCATTACACATAATCTTAATTTTCTGAAGGAGGCCTCTAGGGACCCTGCAATATTGACATCAATGGATAATACAGTGCGATTTTTTTATTCAAGAACCCTAAATGATTACAGTCCTATATCCTAGGACATGCAATAGACAGAAACCCATAAGTTGATTTGGTTATTGTCTGATCAATGAGGAAAAATTTAATGTATGACAGGATCCATATGAGTAGCTGTCATGTGATCACTGCATCTACGTGAGCCAGCTGTGGCATTGCTAATAGTTTTCAGTCACGCTGCGGCCCTCACTGCGGAAGAAGGCATGTTTCTCGTCAAACTTTACATTAGGAATGCTTCCTTCAAAATGTGTCAAATAAGACTTCAAAGTGGTCATAAGACACCACTGAAATCAATGATGTGGAAACTAGTGAAGCAATTCGGGGAAACAAATAGTGTCAATGTTAAAAAACACATGCACCAGCCAACTGTTATTACACCAAAGAAACTGGATGAAGTGCAGATTGTAATGGAAATAAGCCCTCAAAACCCACTAAAATGGCAAACTTAACAAGCTCATTGTTCATATTAAAGTGCAATAAAGGCAGTCAAGACAATTAAACTTTATCCTTACAAAATTCATGCAGTGCATCAGTTACTGGAGCAAGATAAAGAAAAATCCATACCTTACTTTAAAAGGTTCCGAAGGCTAGTAAGAGACCAAGATAATGTTTTGGAGGTCATATTTTTTACAGATAAAGCTTGGCATGTAAATTTGCAAAACACACACTTAATGCTTAGTAAACAGCCTTATGAAATGCACAAAATGCCATTGCGTTCCCAGAAAATTGGTGTTTGTTATACTGGAAGCCAAAAAAGAAATATTGGTCTAATTTTTTTCACAAACTATAATTCATGAGTTTTTAGGGCACCTCAGAGAAGTTAAAATTGGATGATGATGGTTTCAACAAGATGGTGCCACAAGTCACAGTTTGCAGTACAGCATGAATGAACCAAGGCTGCTCTTTGGTGACTGCATAGTGTCTAAGCAATTCTGGTCATCCTTTGATCCATCTATACACTCATTCTTCCTTAACTGCATGTATCTTGTTACCAAAACCAGACTCAAAAATTTTAGAGCCAAGTCAAAGGCAGCCAAGCATGATCTTTGCATGCTTCCTTGCGCATGAAGTAAGGGAGTGGTGGCCAATAAACTTGCTCACAAATCTGAAAAATCTCAATCTCCAGATATTTTGTCACCAGATTTCTTTTTATGGGGATATTCGAAGGACAAAGTCTATAATACAAATCCACACATTCTTGATGAATTAAAAATAAGAATCAATGACATCATCAACACTACTCCCCAAGGAATGCTGCAGTCTACATCAGAATACATAATGCTAAGAGCAAATTTGCATATACAACATGGTGGTATATCAATTGTATGGTTTGGCAAATATCTTCTGTACCATGTGACTTTAATTAAAAATTTTTTTAGTATCTACCTGATCTAGAGTCCAGTCCATACAATAATAATCATTTAGGGTTCTCAAATAAAATAATTATCCTGTACTAGAACAGTACCTTCACTTTATATCCTTTTAAGAATAATGACTACGGTAGTATTTATATATAAATAAGCCAAAATTCTCATTCCTACTTACATTTTCTTAATTTTATACTGAAAAGGGGGGTTTCTCTGCTCCCCATAGCTTTCATCACTACCACATAAATGTGAAAATATTAAACAACCTTGAGAACACTTCTTAGGTTACCTTCAATCTTAAAACCAGTCGCTACTGCATCTGGCATTACTATCCAAACATGCTTTGTTCTTGTTTCCACATTCAATCTGTTTCAGTCATCTCTCCATCCACATCACACATACTGTACTTTATATGGGAGATGCTGTCCGGATTTCATATTTTCACCATGAAATGCTAGTTACAAATTTGGGGGGGGGGGGGTTAATCTTTAATGACTGCCACATCTGAGGATACAATTTCTAGAATTATTGAACTAGTTCATCGCACAGCATAATCCCTGGAAGCCAAAGTACTATAGTCTCAGCTTAATTAGTAAATTCTATTAAATTATGGAAGATGAAATTGTTACGAAGAAATACTTAATCCTTTATGACTTTACATTATTTTTTACTCTTGGTTAAACAAAAGGAAATACTCTGTATGCAATAACATCATAAGTGATGTTTAAACACCAACTCATTTCAAATTCTTGTTGATATACTAAAATTATTCTTAATAGGGTACCCATGCTACAACTGTCTTCACCACAATGAAAGAATGCATCAAGTGAAATATGATAGCCTTATATTTTTTCAATTTCACAATAAGAAATTGGTACTTTTTAGTTATTTACAAAATTACTTAAATTAATAGTGAGCAGAGACACAGCTGCAAGATACAACTCAATATTAAAAAAACTTAAAAAAAATGGGAAGAAACTATCAGGTTTCAACCCTGGAACACTAACTGAGGAATTTATTTAAATATTCTTCCTCACTAAACCTCCATTATAAGCAGTCTACTGTACTAGTAAGGCATAGAAATTGCCAACTTCACTGTATACCAAATAACCAAGCAGGATAATATGCTTTGCCATTGTGTTAGCATACAACAGTGCTTGCATATACATTTCTTTATGCATAAATTCATTACCATTATATCCTTTCCTGAGGACAGTGAGGCAATAACTAGTGCCATCAGAAAATATTTTCATGTAACGTTCATACACTCTTTAACCCACAAAGTGCAGCAGTTGTTACCCAAGTGAGACAGCCTCAATATACACATTCACATGTATTCATAATAAATTTTTCATCTCGCTTATTCCACTAGTATTTGATACCATTGGAATCATCAGAAATTTTATGTTAATACCTACTGTATACAGTACAGTAATATATTAATGTTTTTTTAATAGCTGCTTAGCTCTATGAACTTGTATCATAATCTTTTTTTTAGGCAAAATTATAGCATAATTTAGTTGACAATGAAGTGCAGGATGAGTGCACGTCAGACTGTATGCATATCGTATACTCATGCCCCCTTACATCCACCTATGTATGCGTGATTCGAATTGCACCACCCAAAAATATAGCTAAATCTGGCATCTTTTTTGCCCTCTCTGCTCATTTATTGGTTGGTTTAGGCAATGTCACAATAAAATTCCTGCCTCCAAGTGTGACGTATGCAGGCGGGGCCTTTGAAATAAAGAGTCACCAATATCAATCATCGTCCTTCAGCAACACGAAAAGCATCACTTACAGACACACCGCACTTCATGGGTTAAATTATTTTGATATGCTAGTCTGCACACAGGACTTCCAACCCAAGGTGGAATGATGAATATGTTTTTATAACATGCAACAGCTGCAAATTACAGTAGGTATTTCATAATTATGAATACATAATAAAATTCAAACTTTTTAAAGCAAACTACAGTACCTTCTTCCTTATCATATACGACCCTCAGTAGATACTGCATCGTGAATAAAGAGTCAGTAATGAAGTACAGTACAGTATCTTAAAGATGGATACTTTAAAATATAATTTAATGAATCTCAAAAGTGTCCACATTAATACTGTACTCATTTCACCTGTGCAGATGCTAGGCTGGCTGCCTAGGACTGTGAGATTGACGACTAATACTCCTTTTACGTACAACGCGTGGACACTCTGGGTTGTCTTTATCCTGGGGCTTGTGGCTTCTACGAGTGGCTCTAGGAGGGTGCTGTGAGGGAGGAGGGGGTCAAATGACGACTGCCCCAGCCTCAGATCGACTCTCTGGTAGTGATGTACAGTCTAACCACCGGTTAGTGTTAGGGTCGAAATACTCCACATGAGCAATAGTTACCTATAAAAGATTAAACAAACTTACAATATGAAATCAGTGTAACTGTTTGTGAATGAATAATTGAAAAATTATGTGATTTAAACTTGAAACAAATGAAAAAATTTACAGGTGACAAATTCCTCCATAACGAAATATTGAAGTTGAAGGTGTCAAAACTCTGGATGATTATATGTAATATGAAAGTGGGTTCCATAGGGACAGTGTATAATTACAGCACACCGAATATTAAATCCACATGGAAGCAGTGTGGCTGCCACTACACACAACTACTTTCATTTCCCTAACTGTAAATTCAAGTACCCATTTATAGCTAAGCTATAAGAATATAAATATTGATTCTTAAACTCATTTTACTAAAATTTATTGCCAATTGTCTGAAATGTTGTGTTCAAAATATTTAGTGCTAGACACACAATCACATACATTCACAAGCTATTCCTATCCTCTGCAGAGGAGCAAGGGGCAATTAGATGCTGAAATACTGTATTAATATACTGTATTATCTATTATTAAGTCCCTCTTACAAAGGATACATAAATTTAATATTCCTGTTAATTTTACTTCAAGAAATATCAACCATACAGCTCTATTTTACCTTAACATTAATTAATGCCTTACCTGTGCTCTGTAAAAATCATTAACTTCACTTGTCTGGTCCCCACCTATGACATATAATAGAGAATTTGTGGCAGCAACTGCTGGGCTCGCTCGACCAACCGACATTGATGGACACTCAAACCATTTGTTCTGTTGGGAAGCATTGAGGATATTTCATAAATAACAATCTCAAAACTTAAAGCTGATAGAAGCAGTCACTCTTCTACAGATTAAGCATGTGTCCACAGTACTGATTACCAAACAAAATAAATATGATAGGTACAGTACAGTAAGTTCTCCTATAACGCATGTTTTCATGAGCGATTTGGTTATAACGCAATGAATGTATTAGGCAATGCAGATGTGGCGGATGCAATTTGGATATAATGCAATTGAGTAAACAGAACTACTGTATGTCACTTGAGTAGGAATTAGCAGTTATGCGATCACCTCGGCATCGCATCATAGAAGGCGGGATGCACTACCCTCACAGTCTTTGTTTACTTTCCAGACACCTGACAACCTGACATCCATTATCGTGGACTCTGCTTTATCGTAGTACAAGTACTGTACAGTATCAACTTTATTGCTTTGAATTACAATGTGTAGCCAGGGTGTGAAGCATTCTGGTAATGGTGGTATTGGAAGTGAAGTAAAATGATATGAACCCTCACCACCTCCCCTACCACTCATCTCAAACAACCATCTTCTCTTCTTGTGGTGAGTGTTAAAACATTCTTACAAGTTTATTTACATTTCTTATGGTTAAAAAAAAAAAAAAAAAAAAAGATTTTATCATTAAAAGCTGTTTAGCAAGTCACACTCCACTACATGTTATTTCATTATTTTCATTCTACACCTTCCTTCACGGTTCCATTTTCTATCGCATAGCAACACACACCAACAAACTGTAACAAGCATTTTCCCCCTTTTTCGTGGATTTATTCTATTAATGAATAATATTATTAAACTAAAACACATTTAATATAAAAGAGCACAAAAACTAACAATAATATGAAAGCCAAAGTGGTCCCATGTCAGTCATGTTGGTGTTCTCGAACCTACTACCCCTTAAATCAATGATTACCATTTTTTTTTCTATGACACAAAGTTTTCAAGAACACAGCTACCACGGTATAGGAGAATTGACTGTACAGTATATGCAATCATAACCTTAGTTAACCTTTTCACTGTGGCTGTATAATTACTAGGCCTACTCCCCTGTGAGGATTTTTCCATAAATTCACTAGTAGCTAAGTTTAACCATCTGACTATTTTTGATGGTCGTCTAGGGCAGCTGGATACCTTAATTGGCTCTTGGTGTAGCTGGGTGAAGAACTGCACTGGCTGTGTGTTATTCATTTGAATACTGTGTTCTGCCACTTTAAATATTCTGCTTTATGAGAATGCAGGTTCTGTTATAGGGTATGAAAATTGTTGAGATCTCTTTATCTGTCAGTTATCAAAGACTACTGGCTATAAAATTCATAAGCACTGCACTGGAAAATCTTACCTGTTCAAAAGAATATCTTTCCACTGATGTGAGCACATTATGTCTATTGGTGCCACCTACTACATACAAAAAGCCATCCAAAACAGCCACACCCATCTGACTGCGTGGAGTTAGCATTGGTGCTAGATTTTTCCACTCCCCAGTCACAGGATTGTAGAAGAGAAGATCATGTAGGTGGCGTTGGCTGTGCGTACATCCACCAACAATGTAAATAAGACCCTGATGTTCTACTACACCCATGCTGTAAAAAGAAAAAAAATCAGTACACTTCTTTTTTCTTCGTGATGTAGTCTGCCAATCTGAATATTAATAAATAATTTTTAGTACAACATAAATTAGAGCAGTGCAATCCACATTACACTACAGTATTACCCCGCCTAATGCGGTTTCACTTAACGCGTTTTATCATATACGCGGTGCCTCGCCAGAGCTGAACTTTCACTTAACGCGGAATTTTTCATCATATACGCGGGAAGCGGCGCGGGCACGATGCGCGCAAGGTCGCCCAGTCATCAAAACATTACCGAGTTCTTCACCCGCCACCCACCACAGCCGGCCCAAGTCAGTGATAGTGATAATTATAGTGAGGATATGGACTTATATGGCCTTTGAGGGGTTTGACAAAGAGGCCCTGCAAGCCTCTGTGGTGGATAGTGATACAATTGATACAAGTGATACAGGTGAGGGCCAATAATCTGCCCTCTGCCTCGGAACCAACCCCCCATCCCCGTGTGCCCAGCCATCTTTTCTACTAATGCAAGTGTTAAAAAACCTAATATTATTGATATTTCTCTTAATTATTAATTGTGTGTGCATACCATCATAAAGTTAAGATAAAATTTTTACTACAACATAGTTGTGTGTCGTCAAAAAGTGGAGTTTGGGGGTCGGGCCAGTCTCTATTGGAATTAATCCCATATGTTCTGTTGTTCACTTAACGCGGTTTTCACTTAACGCGGTACCCTGTGGGTTCAATTGACCGCGTTAAGCGGGGTACTACTGTACTTAAAACACTGACTACCACTAGATTAATATTCTAAAATCCTCAGTGTCACATTGGATACACATGAAACACACAAATAACAAAGTTACATGGAAATTCAATACTGTATGCTCAAAACATCAAAAATAAAAATATATAAACAACAGTTTACAAACAATTCATCCACATCAAAATAAACAAAAACAGCCCAAGGTAGACCCCAGCAGTGTCTTCTCCTAACACTTAGAAACTCTGAAAGACCAAAAATTAAGATCTAGGAATAATAGTAAGTTGCACCAAAACCGCATGTTCTAAATCAAGAATTCCCCCCAACACTAACTTATCATCAGGGGATGCAGTTCAATGCCCAAGCATACCTACTTTGGGCCCCAGCACTCATCAAATTGCCCAACTATTTATCAACTTCAAAAAACAATAAGTCCACTATTAATAGGACCAGAGACAGTATATCTCTATGCTTGGGCCCTGCACTTATTCCCCATTCTCAAGGCATTCTCAAGTAAACCTTTGCTATTTGCGAATTGGCAAAACCGCGAATAGCAAATTATACTACTTTAGTGCACTACTGTATACCTATACTGCGCATGAGAAACTTAAGTCACCAATACTACTTACCTTCGTATGTTGAAGTACATTAAATATAAAACTTTAAACACTGTACAGGGGTCCCCGACTTATGAACGCCCGCCTATACAAACAGGGTTAAACTTGAAATTTACATTAACCCCTGTATTTTATTTACCTGATGACTTATTTTTTACTTTTATTTACTGTATTTTGTCATTATCTCTTCTTTTGTCTTAAATTAAGTGATTTTAGATGTATTTAAGGACTTAGGCTATGATATATGTACTGTAGTGGGATTTTAAACATTGTTCTGTAAGTACGGTATGCACATAGCATGTGTTCCAACTTACGTACAAATCTGACTTAAGAACGTCCTCAGGAATGTAACCCATTCATAACCCGAGGACCCCCTGTACTTAAAAGTTCCAACCAGATAAAAGGTCATTGTGCCACTGCTACATATTTTCTCAAGCAGAACATTGTAATCAGCAGTCACACTATCAGTAAATGTGATTAAGTAGGTTTGAAAATGGTGAGTTTATCTTTACAATATAAAATTGTACTTACCTGAATCTAGCTTCTGGCATGTTTGACTCTAATCTCCACTCATCTGCAATAGGGTCATATCTCTCAATGGTTCCTCCTATGTCCTCTCCCACCCAGCCACCAAAGGCATAGAGGTAACCTTCATGAGCACATAATCCAAATTCACACCGTGGGATCACCATGGAAGATATCCTAGTCCAAACATCTTCCTGTGGATCATAAACTTCACCATTTGCCAAAATCTGAGATTCTTGCTCCCCTCCAACAACGAAAATTCTCCCATTCAAGACTGCTATTCCTGGCAAAATTCTCCCAATTTCCATGGGGCAAACTTTCTGCCATTCCTTCCGAAAGGTATCAAAACACTCAACACTTTCAAATGTACACTCCGATCTTGTCCATGAGCTAATGAGTTCTCTTTTTGATCCACCTATGACATAAATTTTCTTTCGAGCACAAATTCTTGGCTGGACATACAGGGGAACCAGACTTCCCCTTTTGCCCAAAAGGTCTTTCTGTATGCTTCTGAGGGCAACCCTCAGACTGATATCACAGCACTCATTAATTGATTTTTCTAGTAGTTTACTTGGAATTAAAGGCAATTTCACTCGTTTTAAAGTGTCAAAAACCCAACGGCGTCTATTAGTTATGTCTTGTGCAATCCATCGGATGGCAGCAGAGAATACCTGTCCATAAAAGAAAGATTTGATTCATGGTACCTGTACAGTAATAAGGTGATTTATGATTCAGCATTACAGAAACTCAAACCTAGTTCTAAAGAGTTGGTAACTGCAATTGTTTTTGAGCTGAATCTTTGTAAATAAAATTCTTGTAAGTTAAGAGTCTACCTGTATTTAAATTCAAGTTTAAATACAAGTAACAGTTGTTCAAACTCATATTAACTTCACACTTTTGGAGATTTACAAGACTGTACAATATAAAATGACAAATTAACTTATTTGTACTTCAAGACCAAAAAAGTCACAAGCAATTTAAAGCATATACAATAATTTAAAATTTTATAAATAAACTGTTAGTTTACCTGAAACTCAGAGTCAATACGAAGGTACTCAGACTCAAGAAGATAGAGTAGGATTTCTTTAGGAGTCTCAAGGAACTCTTCCTCCATTGTCACCTCTGAGAAATTGGAGAAGATGAAGTCCCGTGAAGCATCCAGCAGTTCTACTAAATGATGGGCCTCAGCAAACCTGTTAAAAACATGGAAAGTTTAAACATTTCAAAATGCAAGATACTACATGTAGGATACAACAACGCTAATCGCAACTATTCTGTTTAAACAGTAACACTTTCCTGGATACTGTCGATAATAAGAAAGATCTAGGTGTTGTGATATACCATTCATTGAAGGCGGTGCAACAAGTGGGGGGCAGCAGTGAAAAAAGCAAACCGAGATTTGGGAATTATAAAGCATAACTTCGAATACACAGATAGGAAAATGCTCCTTCAAGTGCTTGGATTACTGTCCGTACAGACATGAAAACCATACCCTACCCACAGAAGGACCAAACATCCCTAGAAAAGGTGCAACACAGAGCAACAAAGATGATTCGGGAACTATGTCATCTTGATTTCCTAAGTAGACAGAGGGCTATAGGACTAACAACCCTTCAGACAAGGCACAGTATGGCAGATCTCATCAAAACTTTTAAAATCTTGAAAGGGATGGAAAATGTGAAACCGAGCCACTTTGTGATGTCACACACCACCAACACGAGGGGACATAACTACATATTCGCCAAGTTATCATGCAGAACGTACATAAGGAAATACTTCTTCACAAACACAGGGTGGTTGTCCTATAGAAAGGTCTATCAATCAAAGCTGTTTAATCACGAACAACACTGGGCTTCAAAACAGCCCTTGAGAAAATTATCAAGAATAATTGGAGGGATCCTACACAGACCACTGGCCTCCTCTCTTTGATAAGACCCCCTCTAGTGAGTGGCCATTAAGTAAATGAGGTAAATTCATGTGATAATGATTTTACAGTAGAAGCCCTATCACCTATCCAAACTCCTAAGATATAGTGGTGGATTCACTTGTTCCTCTGAAGCCTGGTCAGTAAAAAGCCAGTCCTTATATGCCTGCTCTCAGCATAAAGACAGTGTGGACAGCTGCCTACCTATGATTACATTGCAACTTTTTAAACAAAACATTTCTAAAGCTTAATATACCTAGGACTGGCCTGATTAAGTTAGTAAAAGTTAGCAAAAGCTTTCAACAAACTGTACTGTTACTGTATCAGTATATAAAAGTGAACAAGTCCTTGATAAATGCATTACACATACTGTACCTGTAAATTCCTAAAGCATTGGATGGATGAAGTTCCTTCTTGAGAAAGTTTGTGCCAACATGTACAACATGGTGAATTTCCAGCATGTCTGCAGCAACCATCAACTCTTGAGCATTCTCCACTGTTACCTCAATGTCTCCTAAGATGATATAATTTTCCAGAACATAAGCCAACTTTCTCAGTACATTTGCTTATATACGAGAAGAAATTTTTATTAAACTTAAATTTCAATATCCTCAAAATATTTAAATGAATACCATTTTTTTTATTTTTCTTAAACATTTATTGAGCCTTAAAGAGGTAAAAATAAGGACTGCTTTTGTAATTAGTAGATTTGGGTAAAAAGCTAATGTAAATTTATAATTTGTATAGCACACATCAAAATATGTTCACATATTTCAGTTTTTGCAAGGAAAGGAGCAGGAAAAATTAATCTGCATTACAGTTTGTGGAACTTTGACAAGAGAAGTCTATGGTCACATAGGGTACTGTACCATATATTATTTTCAGCAATATGTAAAAGTGCAATAACTTAATTTAACCTTGAAAAAATATGATGCAGTATAAGCACTTCTCTTAGTGTTTAGTTTTATCCCTATGTACTACATAGTATTTTATTTACCAGTGTATATAAAGCTGATGAGCTGAGCTAGTACAGTGGGGGTTATGGACTTTATTTCTATTGAAGTCTGTGTTTCCTCAGCTAATCCACCAGTAAACATGGCCTGAAAGTATGCACTCCCTGCTGATAGTACCGCACGGTGGGCCTGGAATAAAATGCTTATTCTGTAGTATAAAAAATATGCAGTGTATATTCTACATGAAATATCTAAACAATCTTCAGACAGTAAACATACTAATGCAAACAGGTATCCTGAACATTCAACAGTATTGCTAGTGCACATCAAGAATGTATCAGTAAATAATGTTCCTCACCTTCACAACTAATCCACCAGCTGATATTTCTACATCACAGAACCGCTGTGAATGCCAGAGTGCACATAAGTTCTGCAGCAGTTTGTTCGCGTAAGACTTGCAGGCATAGCGGTGTGTGTCACTACTCAGAGAGGATGGGGCACCCTGGGCGGGGGGGGGTAAGAGCCCCACACATGCCGCCATCCTCATGCACCCTTTTAACCCTGTACAGAAAGACATATGGATAGTAGTATGTATACTTAAATAATGGCTTCCTATGCACCCTCAGCCCAAAGGAGACAGAGGCTTACTTGAGAGCAAATAAATCTTATATTAACTATATGAACTTCACACTACGATACATTATTGTACTTGTGCAGTATGGCATTCTGTTATAAACACTTGACTGCCACCAACAAAGCATGATTTCATTTCAACATACTGACAACAAAATTCACCCACCAAAATGGTTTCTTTGCATATGTTTAAGCTGTTACTATTACTACCTAAGGGTTTTTCAAATGCTGTATTGTATAGCTATATTTTTAACAAAATGTATAGAGAACACAATGTGAAGGTTAAGTTTGAACAGGTATCCCTCGGTATATGAACGTTTGAGATACGAAAATTCACTTAGACAAATTTCCTAAGTGATCACCTTTATTCATATTATGAAAGCTTCCCCCGCTTATACGAATTAGGGTCCAAGCAAAAATTCAAATTGCCTGCCCCAGGTGTCAGCTGGGGTAGCTACATCACCTTCTCACTCTCCCTACCAGACTGAGGTAGCAGTTTTGCCATTAATCACCACACACTGCTTGCAGTCATGTAGAAAGTCTTCTATCCACGCTAGGACATTTCCCCAAATTCCATACCCTTGTAGTTTGATTTTCAGCCTTTCTTGGGGTACACTGTCAAAAGCCTTGCCAAAATCAAGGTACGTATATACTGTCGATATTACCAACCCGTTCCAGAATATGGGTCCAAATATCCAATACCTTGAGCAATTGTTATGCAGGAGCGCCCCGGCAGAAAACCTTGTTGGCAATCCTTTACAAGGTTGTTTCGTAGTAAATGCTCCATCTCGGCATCTCTGATAATATTCTCACGTACTGTACTTTACATACTATGCTGGTCAGGCTCACAAGTCTATAGTTGTTCATGGAGTGACGATCGCCCTTCTTGAAGATAGGACTCACCTAAGCCATTTTCTAATCACTGGGGACCTTTTGTTCATCCAGACATTTACAGAACAGGATCTTCAGGGGCTCAGCAAGCTCGTTGCACAAGTCTCTTAGCACTCTGGGATGCAACCTGTGAGGGCTGAGTCTCATTTGAACCGTTAACTTTGACAATTTATTTCTGATGCCCTCTGAGAACACAATGTGGGTCAGCATTGTGTCAAACCGTCTGTCCTCAAACGCAGGAAGAATGTTCGTAACCTCTCTTGTGAACACCGAGGGAAAGAAGCTGTTCAATGCCTCAGCTTTATCCTGGTCAGAATCTGCATAACTACCATCTTCAAGCCTCAGGTCTGATACTCCTACCCGCATTTTTAATTTTAACTGTGCATAGCGGTAAAACGCCTTTGGGTTTGACTTGAACTCGCTTGCAACTGGCCTCTGGAACTCCTTTTCAGCCATTCTACACTGCCTTTGCTTGGTTTCTGGCTCTTGAATACATCCTCCTGTCCTGCCCATCGTTTGACCTAACACACGTCTTGAATTTCTGGGTTTTCTTCTTAACTTTGTCGACTGCCACATGGTACATGTGTAGGGATCCCTTCGTATTCCTAGAGGCACTGGGTTTGGTCTTGGGTATATATTTATCAATCAAATGGGCCACTTTACTCGTTATGATATTCAGATGTTTAGAGTGCAATGAATTTTGTGGATCGAGTACCAAGAGATGTTGGTGGAATTCAGAGAAAGTTCACCGATTTAAGGATATCTGTGAAGACAAAAGCAGCTCAAGGACTTAATTTACACTTCTTACCTATTTCCACAAACTAACCATAAAATATTACTATATTTCACAGATTACAACTATAGCAAATTATTTCTGCATTTTCTAATGTTTATTGTTAACTGTAGTAATAATAATAATACAATGATGATGCTAATGTCAGATTATATTTACTGTATGAGGTGAAGTAGGAAGGAAAATTATAAAGTTAAGGAGACTATAGCCTTTATTAAAAGCAGAATATATTATAATAAATGGATGATCAAGTGTATTTTGGAAGAAGTCGTCCAAATATTTCACGGACAAATATATTATGTAATATTTATGTGTATGTAAATTGTAACATTTTAAAGAAGATAAAAAAAATCAAATCAAAAAATATATTTACAATTTGCAAAATAAAATTATATTCTCTCCTTACCGATTCAAGAAAAGTACAAATATTAGTAACAAGTTTGTGTGTGGTACACCCAATCACCTATTCGTTCTCCGCCCTAAAGTGTCTAATTCATTGTAGTTTAAAAATTTCACATTGAGGAAATATGTAGAACCTCAATAATTGTTCATCACTTTGTTAAGAGGGTCGAAAGGGTCTCGGTACCTCCTTACACACCGCAAAACTTGATCTTTCAAAAATACATAGACCAGCTCCTGGTGCTGCACACACACACAGGTGCTGATTGGTGAAGTGAAGATTATCTTTAAACTGATTTGATTTTATTTTAATACGATATTCTATTAAAATAATATATGAAACCTATTCTCTGCAGTATTCTCTGATAAAACAGCTTTAATGAGGTTTATCATAGCTTGGCATATATATACCTGTATACTGTTTATGCAAGCGGGAAATAAACATGGTATGTCCGGGTCATTATTTCCTGAGGTGTAAACAAGGTTCCATGTACTACACCCATACAATATATGACGTCACAAGATGGTTGCTCACTATTATTGTTTTGAGTATCGGTACAAAGAGGAAAGATGACTTACAATATTGAGGATCGACTTACAGAGTGAACTGAGATTCACACTACTGTAAATACTTCTGAAAATCCGGCTATACTGTACATTCTTACTATCAAAGCAAGAAGAGCTTACAACAAAGAAATATAGCCCATAAAGAATCTCCTCTCACTTTGAAGATTCCATTATAAGATGTAGTTAACATTATTCCCATTCTTTAGAAGCAGCAACTAAGCCATGGCCATCATACCCTCAGTAGTCAGCAAGCTGACAAAAACCATCACTGAACTATTATGATACCAGCAGAAATTAATAACCGAGTACCCCCCAAGGTGGACAGCCCACCTGTTATTATCTCCCTCTTTATTTCCCACTTCCTAACCTTTACCTTCCTTCTACACCGTCTTCCACCTTCCTGAGCCATTGGCTCTCTTCTCTCCATCCCATAATCATTATCAATAATTCAGTAATACATTTTTGAAGCTTAAAAATGCTCAGCAATTTGTTCTGGGTTGGTTTTTGTCAAATTGCCAAAACACTGAAGTAAACTGAAAGTATTGTAACTGGAATAACAAATTTCACCTTGAAATATATTTATTGCGCATAACTCACGTTAATTCACAAATAAACACCAAAGAACATTAATTTACTCAAAACAAGTTATTCACTACGAGAGTTTCCTGGCAACAAATACCAAGTGAAAACCCAAGTTATGTCGCGTCAATAAACCCCTCACTGTCTCTCCTGAGATACCTTATGCGCCAGCTTTAATTAGAAACACCAGGAATCACGAATGGTATGTGCCATCGAATCACTGACTTATTTCATTCTAAATTGAAGATCAACCCGATTAATCTCGGGTTGTCCTACATCCTGACAAATTAACGCTGACGGAAATCCTCATTTCCTGTATGTGCTACTAGTGTACACCCCTGACTCAAGTCATTGCTGAAAATCACCTGAATCTTATATCTATACTTACGCTCCACCTGAATGTTTACGACTTATCAGGAGGCCGCAAAATAATGATCTTTTTTATAGACAACTTTGTTCTCTCTCAAGATGTCGGGTCTATGACAGACAGACAGCAGACGATGAAAGCACAGAAGACTAACACCTATCACAACTTATTAGTTCAAATTTTCTCCTTAAACACTATCATCTATTTGAGTCAGTTTTTGTAGTGAATATGTAAATTTACTTATAATTCATTGATCCATTTATGATCTTCTTGGAAAGGAAATATTAAATATGTACCGAGAAAAGATTTAATAGGTGCTACTGCGCGCGCCCGCCACCTTTAAAGGGAACACTATGACTAGAAGTTTCGTCTCAGTTCCGTCAAATACAGTGTTTACATTAACCCCGACGCATTGACGAGGAATGTTCAACAACTACATCTTGTGTCAAATGGCAGCTGGCTACCTTATGACATGTGTGTGGGTCTCATTGTGGCCCTGAAGCTGCTTCACTTTAAAGTATGTGTGTGGCTCTGGCATTATTGCTTCACTTTACTGTGTCCAACTGATATACTGTATATTTTTTTTAACAATACTTATTGTTTTATAACCCGGCAATATATGTATTACCTGTTTACTTGTAGACTTAGAATGACACACACACACTAAGATACATATTTCCAGCTGTTTTGAAGGAAATGAAAATATGTATTTTTAATCCAATTAATCTCTAACTAACTTGAAGTGTGTGTGTATATATATATATATATATATATATATATATATATATATATATATATATATATATATATATATATATATATATATATATATATATATATATATATATACACGTGAGAAGGGTGTTATCCAGTGTGACCCTACCCAAACACTACAGATTTCCGTCCCCAGTTTCCTCCTGTGGATAAACCGCCCAAACGGCTCGTAAGCTGATAAGTGGCGACTATGATAAAAAACAAAAACAAAACAACACATGCAAGGTATTTATGTTGACGTGACGGGGCGTGACACAATTCTGTTGCTCCTCTGTCCTTTTATCATGTCATCAAAAAGTAAGTAAACACAAGAGTCTAGGTTAGGTTAGGTTAGGTTAGGTTAGGTTAGAAGTTACACGGTCCCTCATAAACCAGTCCTGAAATATTTATCGCGTTAACTTCACTATAACGGCGTATTTATTGATAATTGCTACACAATTTTTCTGAGAGTATATTAATGCATTATATCACTTAATAACTGTAAATGTACATTACTTTTATTTGTTCACTCATCTCTGTAAATATCAATTTTTATGAATACCTGTGTCAGGAGTTGACCTGTTAAAGAAAATCTTCCTTGTAGATTAATCAGCTTATGTTAGAATAAGTTTGGTAAACGTTTTCATAATGATATCACTGAAATTTTCTAGTGTTGAAGCGTGCAATTTGTTAAAGATATGGGCTATAAAAAGAGAAAACAGTGCTATATAAATATTGTACCCTGTGGACGTATAAGCGCTTTCTACTTCTATGATTATTTACACAAATTACCACATTAACTGAACTAGGTAAAATTAAATTTAACGGATATATTTATTGGTTTTTAGGATAATTTTGAATCTGATATGAGAGAAATGTCCGCGTGAAAAAGGCAAAATAAAAATGAAACCATCCCAAGAAGCTGTGTGAGCGGCGGCCCCTTGCCAACGCTCACTTGTTATGTCGTCTGCTTCCCTCTAGCGGGGAACGCGGGAAAGCAGTACATCAGCTGGCTTGACTGTGTTTGGCTGTCAGACATGAATTGCTCATGATACTCTTTGTTAGTTCGCTATATTATGTCTGTGAAGTCCGTTTATGTTTGGAATACTTAGTGTTCTGGCAATTGTACCCTTGGATATCAACACATATCTTCACCAAATCTTCAGATAAGACCAGAAAAGCATCAATTAATACGGTGAGTTCGTCGTCTGCAGGTAACAGCGTCGTCTGCACTGTTGTGGCGGGAAGCAAACAATTTGCTAATGCAGATATTTTCTGATAAGATTGTCTCTCAAGTGTTAATTTGTTAATATTTGTTGTATGAAATTGTTCCATAAAATATAAGATTTGTATTGCTAAATTTATATGATGTAGTTAAAGAGCGTACTGTCCCATTAATAATCAGTAACTAGTATTGTGTGAATTCGAATTCTAATGTGTATGGCAGCATGACATTTAATTTGAATTTATTTGAGTATTTTATAAGTTAGGTGAACAGATAGTATATTATTTCAATTAGCAATATTTATTCGCTTAGACGTGAGTGATGTTTTTTAATAATATTTGTTCATCTCCATCATGTCAAATGTTGAACATATCACTCCACACATGTGTCATCACTGTCATTGATCTATCTAGCGCACCATCAGTTTTTCCATAAAAGGTTTCAGGACAATAAAATCAGTCTTTGCTATTGAAGTACACAAATAAAATCTAAACTTGTATCACGGGACTGAGACATTTACAAAAAAAAAAGATTGACAGGGTGAAGATATAGTGTAATGGGGCATAACAATGGGAAGCAAACACATTGGAGTTTTAGATGTGGTGAAAGGTATTATGAGTACTGGCCCTGAAAATTACTCTTATATGCAGGATCTTTTGTATTTTCGATTTTTTTTTTACAGGGATTAGCCCACCCAGGCACAGGTAACCTACCCACATCGGGGCCTGAGCGGCTAAAAAAAAAATAAACAAATTGAAAAAAAAATACAAATCAAGAGTGAGAAAGGATATCCTGTACTGTGTGTATTGTGGTGTCAAAGAAATGATAACAATTGAGATCCTGCAATTGTGTGTAAATGAGGCAGAAAGTCAGGTCAGCAACCTGGGACTTGGTCACAATTTTCTTGATGCTATATGGACAGGGCCGGATTCAGGAGTGGGCAAAGTGGGCAGCTGCCCAGGGGCCTCCACAATCTGGGGGCCTCCACATATTACAATATTTTATTTATTTGTTTATTCATTTGGATTATTTTTATTTTCATTCTTTAAAATTCATGTTTATCTATTCCATCACGTAAAACTATGTTCAACAAGACGCGTGATAGAAATTAGGCTAGCTACTCCTTGAAATTCATGAATACCTGGTTTTCCTATGAACCGTATATTTTTAATGAATGCTATTGTTTGTGTTGCTAATAATATATTTAGAATTCCAGAAACATATATTGATTAAAAATTAACTGCATGGAATAACGAAAATGAGATTAAAATTTTTTTTTTTTTTCATTATCACTTCCATTATGAATGCCATCAGGGCGCTGTGTTTGTTGACAGTCGGTCGGAGGGGGTTGGGTCGTGTAGTAATTGCACATCGGTTGTCATATGTCTGTCGATTAAAGAGGAGACTTGCGTCGCCCATGATTCGTGAACTTCCCACGAGTAGACATAAACATGTCTTGCAGATGTAAAATGAGAGAGAGAATTGTCATGTGTGCTTGGTGAAAAATTTCCCGGGGAGCTTACAGCGCCCCCCGGAACTCCCAGATGCTAAGGCGCTTCACTCGCCACCCCACCCTCTTGGGCTGCCCACGGGCCTCCACAGGTCTAAATCCGGCACTGTATATGGCAGAAGGGTCTACCATTAGACAACACATTATGCTTTTAAAATCTTCCCAGGCGGTAGTACCTCCCTTGATAAATGCCTACTACCTACTACCTTGGTGACATGATTTTAGCACTGACGTATGGTTAAGTTTTGGGTGAACTTTAGTCTTTAATTCTTTTAGGTGGTTAGGTTACCTTTGGTGCCAGTGCGCATTGTTCAAGTTATTTTTATTTGACTCGCTGGAAAGTAGAATACAGGCTTCGATTAATCGACAGGTGTATTTATTATGGGCTTCAAGTAACCCAGGGATACGATTAGGAGCTTCAATTAACCCACTGATACGTAGATTAGGAGCCTCAATTAACCCAAGAAGTGCGTTAGCTAAGGTGTAATAATATAAGTGAATAAACACAATACGTTTAAGAAGAAATAACTATTGTTTTCACGCAAAAATATGCTTAGTAATTTACATGTGCTGTACTGTACAGTGTGGGTACATCACACTGTAGTGGTACTATACTAAGTCGGTACACAAGGAGGTAGTGACCAACACTGCACCCCATCACCTTTTATTAGACCAACAGTTATGTTAGATACCCATTTACAGCTGGGTAAATTTGGCGTGCCGTAGACTGGAACCTTGAAGACTAGTCGAGTGGCGTATCCTCTCGGCTACCGCACCCCACATATACAGTAGTGTAAGTAGTAAGATATGCCGATTACAAGTGTTCCCGTGGATAAGAATTGAGTATTTTGGGCGCTAATTCAAGAGGACCAGAAGTTCTACTGTGTGCGCGCGCCTCAGTTAAGTGCGTCGTCATTAGCCTGGTGGCTCGCTCATGTTTCGGAGGTTAAATGTCGTCACTATGGTGTTGCAACGATTCATCACCTCCATGTAAAGTTTTATGTAACTAACTGACTGATTGAAGTTTCTCGGGAAAAAAACATATAATCATTAAAAAGTTTCTGGGACATTCCAGGCTGGCCTATTAATTCCAGAGCTATTTTGTGAACTCTTAGGATTTTGAATTTTGAAATGGTTTTTGCTTTCCAAATTTGACTGTTAACATACATCAATTGGTCATTCAACGGTTAAGTGTAAGTAATTAGATCTTGTTGTAGAAGCTATCTACAACTCTTTGGTGTCTACGTTGCCACCAATGGGTATACTTATTATGGTATGTAGATACTGTTTTATATTTGCACTGGTGGGGAAGCATTTATGAAGATAAATTTTATTGTTGAATTGCCTTTTGAGATCTTGTATGAGAGACAAGCAACGCAGAATCATTGTGACTGATGGTGCCGGGGTTGGGACTGTACCAATACAATGACGTCGGCAGCTATAGTGGGATTCATTTTCTCATTCCTCCTCCGGTCCGGTATAGTTCCTGCGAGACCCAGCCTTCTTGCCTCAGCTGGGTCTTCTTTTGTCACTACTGTTGTAGTGTGACTCTTAATTTTTTCCATTTCCTCTGGTTTAAAAGAGACGTTTTCTTCAACCCAGTCAATCGCAGAGACAAACATTGATTTGAGAGGTGTGCATTCAGGAGCCAGTGCATGCCCATTACTTGTCAACAGTGCAACAGTCGCGACCGACCGTCCAAACGGCTAACGAGCCGATCAGTGGCGAAGAGGATGCAAATCAAAAAGTAAAAGTAACACCACATGTCTGTTCTCTTCCTACGCCTTTTATGTTAAAATAACCTAACATCACATGGAACTACCCCCTCCCCCTCCCCCCCTTTCCGAAAATGCATAAAGGCATTGTAGCGACCAACTCCAATTGTTGCATTCCCTTTTCGTGGGCTGTGTTTATTTACATCTTGCTCATCAACTACTGTCTACTCTACTTTAATTGGGACGAAATGCGGTTAATTGGATTTTACAGTACATAGGTTTTCCTGAACTCAGTTTTCTTGTCTTTTTTTATTTCTTGTTTTCCTGATCTTCCTAACACTGTTGAGACGACAGGTTACATAATCTATTGTAATGTTTCGTTAAGGCAGGTCGTGATACTATTAGGGCCCTACCATGCATTGCCATAAGCAGACGAACTGTACAGGTAATCCACCTTATATACACTTGTTCTTACTTCACCACGTGTAACTTACTAACAAAATCAATGAGACCTGAAGCACTCTCGCCCGCCCTTGCTTCCCTGTTGGGCGCCGCATTGCTCCTGCGCTGCATGGAGTGAAACTGAATCTGTTACATAATCCAGGTTAAAGTTTTCTTGCTTAGGAAACAACAATCAACCACGCTTGTTAAAGCCTCGGGTTTTAAAAGAACAAACTACCATATTACAATACGCATAATAACCTATTTCCCGAAATGTATGACACACGACACTCAGATGTAAGTTTAAAATCTTTATCAACTTATATAATTATCACAATTAAGATTCTGAAAGTCAAATATACTAGAGAATATTTTATCTTTATTTGGTAGGGTGTTGTCATAGACTTTCTAGGTTACGTACTGTAATGTGTTGTGTATGAAGAGCAGAGGTAAAGTTTTAAAGCAGCCTGTGATTGTTTTGTTACATCGTAGCAAAATTGGATCCATGTTGCTTACTGGTGATTATTGTGGACCTTGGTGTTAGTCTTGCCTCTCTCTCCACTACCACACACTCTCTCACACACCACTACCACACCTCTCTCTCTCTCTCTCTCTCTCTCTCTCTCTCTCTACTGCCACACAACTCCCTCTTTTCATTACCACACAACCCCCCTCTCCCCTACTACACAACTCCCCTGTCCACTACCGCACACCCCTCTCTCTTCACTGCCACACTAACCTCATTGTCTGGATTACTGAGAGGCAGCAAGACTAATTCAAAAGCATGAAGAAGGTGTCGTGAGAGAGAAAGGTAAGATGTGGCCAGAGAGAGAGAGAGAGAGAGAGAGAGAGAGAGAGAGAGAGAGAGAGAGAGAGAGAGAGAGGGTATTGACTTTACTGAAACGAGCTATTCCATATCAACTGGATCCACAATGAGAAGAGTCCCAAATCTTACACAGGCTCATTACTGACTCCTTCCCTAGAATTATAAGCTACAGAATAATTACTGTACACAATAAACAATACAGTAATGATAACATCTTTTTCTCATAAACTCACAGTAATAATTATTCGTCATATGATGAAAGTATATACATAGTAATTTGAAACACCTTAAAGACAGTAATACATAGTAAAGAGAGTGAAGTTAAATCAAAGGAACGCAAGACCATCAGAGGTTCTCCAAGGAATGAACACTGCTGTGCCTCGCCGCTCAGAAAAATGAGGTTGCTGACGGCTGTGTAACAAGTTGCCGGACCTCCCACTTTTGATGTGGCATAGGGAGATATATGAGGCTTACCCCG